CGAGTTCATGTAGTGACTAGGGCTTTGTCCAGTGTTGATTTTGAACTTATTGCATTGTGGTCCGATAGAATGCATGTAATTGTTTCAATTTTTTGTATGTTGAGGTTTGTTTTGTGGCCCAGTATGTGGTCATTTTTTGAAAAAGTTCCATGGGGTGCTGAGTAGAAAGTGTATTCTTTGGTGCTTGGGTGGAATATTTGAAAGATATCTGTTAGGTCCATTTCATGTATGGTATCATTTAATTCAGACATCTCTTTGTTTATTCTTTGTCCACTTGACCTGTCTAATGGAGACAGTGGGGTATTGAAGTCCCCTACTATTACTGAGTTGGGAATCTGTGTCTTAAAGTCCTGTAGTGTTGTTTTTATGAATTTGGGTGCACCAGAGTTTGGTGCATATATGTTAAGGATTGTCTTCTTGGTTAAGTGTTCCTTTGATCATAATGAAGTGACCCCTGTTATCTCTTCTGGTTAGTTTTACTTTGAAGTCTATTTTGTCAGATATTAGAATTGCAACCCCTGCTTGTTTCTTAGTGCCATTTGCTTGGAATATTCTTTTTCATCCTTTTACCTTTAGGTAGTGCCTGCCCTTGAAGGTGAAATGAGTTTCTTGCAGGCAGTAAAGAGATGGATTTTGTTTCTAAATCCATTCCCTTAGCCTGTGTCTTTTGACTAGGGAGTTGAGTCCATTGATATTTAAGGTTATTATTGAAAGATGTGTATTGGTTGCCATCATTTTGATTGCTGTTTTTGTTCTCTGTGTAATTTTGTGCTTACTGGATTATATCTTTATTTATTTTCTTTCGTTACCCCTGGGGTACAGTTGTTTCTCTCTCTGCTCTCTGTATTGCTTCAAGTGTTCTTTGAAGGGCTGGTTTTGTGAACATGTATATTTTTCGTCTGTTCGTGTCATGGAAGATTTTTCTTTCCCCCTCAACTATAATAGACATTTTTGCTGGGTAAAGTATTCTGGGCTGGCATCTATTGTCATGTAGAACTGGAAATACCTTGGTCCAGGCTCTTCTGGCTTTCATAGTTTGCATTGATAAGTCAGCTGTAATTCCGATGGGCTTTCCTTTGTATGTGACTTGTTTTTCTTTTGCTGCTTTCAGTATTCTCTCTTTGTTCTGTTCATTTAGTGTTTTTACTATGACATGCCATGGGGAGTTTCTTTTCCGATCCTGTCTATTTGGTGTTCTATGTGTTTCCTGTATTTGTATGGGGATGTCTTTCCTTAATTTCAGGAAATTCTCTTCTACAATCCTGTTTAGTATCTGG